ATCTGATATCATCGCCGCTGTGGTGGAGTTCTTTATTCGAGTTCTTTCGCGAAATTTTTAGACCTTTTTAGGACTTTCAGCGATTTTTGAGGATTCTTTTTTGATTTCTCCGATTTTTTTGTCAGAAATTTGATGGAACGATGTTTTGATACCTGAAGATTACTGTAGATTACTGTAGAAACCTAATTTCCTTCTGTATTTTTTTGTTGGAAACTCTGCATTTTGACGTGATTGTGTTTGCAAAAAAAAATTACAAAAGGAAATTAGGTTTTCTACAGTAATCTACAGTAATCTTCAGTTATCAAAACATCGTTCCATCAAATTTCTGACAAAAAAATCGGAGAAATCAAAAAAGAATCTTCAAAAATAGCTGAAAATCCTAAAAAGGTCTAAAAATTTTGCGAAAGAAATCGAATAAAAAATCAATTTTCTTTCGAAAGTTTTTGCAATTTTAGCATCAAAAGTTCCAAAAAAAGTAGTTTTGGATTCAAAAATACCTGTTCTAGACCCAAAAAACACAATTGTGACGCCTTGAATGCGATTTTTCGACCTGGAAATACTATATTTTTATCCTCGAAACTCCTATTTCGACCCCCAAAAGTCGTTTTTTTTTAACTTTTTGAAGAAAAAAAAGTCAGAAAATCAAAATTTTTGATATTGGAAAGATTGATTGAAATTGCACAAAAATAAACATATTTTTAGATTACGGTAGTTGTCGTTGTGGGACCTTCCAGATCACTTACGGAAAAGGAAGAAGAGCCTCAGAAGTGGGTCCAACGACGAGCAAATGCTCTTCAACGTCATCATAGGTGATATCTGTTGGAAGTGTCTGTCCGATGGGCCATCTGAGCACTTTTCTCGCCAATGCTGCTGCTTTGGCGGCTTTTTTATCGATAAGCTGGACCAAAAGTTCAGTGTGCTTTTTGTTGTTGCTCTTCAGCTCATCTTCTTCCAAGACACGATCGAGCTCGATTTTCAGATAATCGTTTAGGTCGAGTTCCAGGAGCATTCTGAAATTAACAGTCTCCGTGATTTTCGGCACAAAATAAAGCTTCAAAATCTGCAAAACCCCCAGAAAAAAATAAATAAATATGATACCAGCTGATAACTGGGAAATTACAAAATTTTGAAAAAAAAAATCTACCTAAGTATATAACAAAAATAAGATTTTCATTGAACAGGAAGAAAAAAGACGGAAAAAATATAATGCTCTTCAAAGTAAAATTTAAGACCCGGGGGCGAAAAAATTAAATTTTTAAACTGAATACATTTTGTGAGTATGATGGCAACATGAAAGAAAAAACAAGAGATGCTGAGACTAGACAAGGGGCAGGTTTAATAGCGGAACAGAGGGAAAGAATGTAAAGTTTCAACGGAAATTACCATAAACACTATAATAGAACGTCACCCAACTCGTCAACTTTGAGCCAATGTATCTAATTTTCTGTAAATGATATCAAAAAGTGGTCAACTGATAAAATGCTGCTGATATTATGATAAACATTTTATCAGTTGACAACTTTCTGATATTTTTCACAGGAACCGAGATATATGATCCCAAAGATGGCGGTTTAGGTGGCGTTCTATTAGTGTTTACGTTATTTTAATAGCTCTAAAAATCGGTTTTTTGACTAGAAACATGGGTAAAGCGAGAGGGGGAAGAGGGGGAGGGCTTTCAAACAAATAATTAGGGAAAGGAGGAGGCCTTTGGCCAGAATGATATGCTCAATAGCACGGGTAAGAGAAAGTTGGACGGTGAATATTCAGAACGGTCAATTATTCTTCTTATCAGCTCCATTTGACATTTGCTGTTGAAGTGCTGCCTTCTTTTTCTTGAGCATTTTCTCTTTTTCGTTAGCCAGAATCTCCTCTTCTGACATCCCGCGGTTGCTATGTATGGCTTGTTTCGTAGCGTCAACGGCTCTGAAACAGTGGATATATACCGTGTAGGAAGATATGTAGATTCATATTTATAGAAGCAAATATAAAAATTCGAAAAAATAAAAAAATCTCGAAAACCGATTCTCGTCCATTTCTGGAATCTTCTAGAATGTTCTCATTTCCAGGTCAAAATAATGGCATTTCAGACGTCAAAATTTTGATTTTTGAGGTCTAGAATAGGCATTTGAATCCAAAACTACCTTTTTTTGGAATTTTCAATGCTAAAATCGCAAAAACTTTCGAGAGTAAAAATTGATTTTTCTTCGATTTTTTTGTTAAGACCTTTTTAGATTTTTCAGCTAGCTTTGAAGATTCCATATCGATGTTTCCGGATTTTTTGTCTGAAATTTGACAGGATGATGTTGACGAAGAGAGCACACCAACTGGGAGGAAA